ATGGAGGACGGAGGCGCCCCAGGGGGGGGGTATTGGCCCCGGGTCGGCAGGGGGCCGGACTACCGCCCACCCACCTGTGCAAGATGTGCGCCACCCTCAAGCGGCCCGGGCACACAGAAGGGCAAGAGGAGGGGCCTGGATCGGTATGGCGGACTAGGGGGCGGCGGGAGAGGGAGTCGGAGGGAAACAAAACGGGACGAAAGAGGGGAAAAAAAGTGAAGGGAGCCCCGCTTCGCCATGCCAAACCACAACTCACCTGACACACAGCAGCCGGCGGTCCCAAGTCGAGCTTAGGTGGGGAGGACTGGAGAGAGAGCACAGACAAACACAGCTGAGCGAAGAGGAAAGGAAGCATGAAGCAGTTAGGGGGGAGGGCTTTGGGCGTTCCGGGGCAGAGCACGAGAGAGAATGGAGAGAGAGAGAGAGAGAAGATACTAGAGAGAGAGAGAGAGAGAGAGAGCGGGAGAGAGAGGGAGAGATGGCGGGAGATGAGAGGAGAGAGAGGAGAAATAGAGAGAGCTGAGAAGGAGAGAGAGAGAGCGGGAGAGAGAGAGTAGAGAGAGGGAGAGAGAGTAGATAGGTAGATATAGAGAGCAGAGAGAGAGAGGACGAGGGAGCGAGGAGGAGAGGAGAGAGAGGCGGGAGAAGGAGAGAGAGAGACGAGGAGAGAGAGAAGAGAGGGAGAGTAGTAGAGGGAGAGCGAGAGAGAGAGGAGAGGCGAGGGGAGGAAGAAGAGAGCTAGAGATGAGTAGAGATGGGAATGTAGCGAGAGAGATAGGAGAGAGACGAGATAGATATTATATAGGGAGTGAGGAGAGAGATAGAGAGAGATGAGAGATATAAATCGGATATGTATGAGTCTAGATAGAGTAGATGTATTAAGATAGAGATAGTATTATATAGTATATTGGATATATAGATATATATATAGAATCATATAGAGAGAGATATAAGATAATGGAGAGAGATATCGATGCAGCTAGAGAGAGATAGAGTAGAGATATATAGGTATATCGATAGTAGATGATATATATATAATAGAGATATAGATAGATAGGTATAGTGTATATAGAGCTATTATTAGGGAAGAGAGAGAGAGATATATGGATAGGATATATATATATATGTAGAGAATTATCTAGATATAGGTATATATATAAGGCTATATATATATATATCTATATGTTTTAGATATAAAGTATATCTATATATAATACTGTATATATAAATGTATATATTTTTTTTTTTTTTATATCATATATATGTATAATATATATATCTAGGTCTAGATATATATATATAATATATGTATATCTATAGAATAGGTAATCTATTAGTTACGAGATATATATTTATATATGTATTATAGATATAGGTATCGTATAATATATATGTCTTGATATATATATCTATGTATATGTAGTCCTTATATATATATATATATAATATAGATATAATATATCATATATAGATATATATATGAATATATGTATATAGATATAGATTATATGTATATTATATTATACTATACTATAGATATCATAATATATATATAATATAGCTATATATATATAGATATAAAGTCATCATATCATCAGAGGGTCAATCCCCGAAGGCCTTCGCCAATCTCTTCCATCTTTGTATGTCTTGCGTTTTTTCTTCTCCAGCAATGGCCCCAATTTGTTATTCGTATAGAATATTATATACTAGATATATATATATATATATATATATATAGATAATGAGTAGATGATATAATATTATAATTATACGAAAAAGAAAATAATATATAATTCATGTTATTATGTAATATATAGATATATAGATATATAGAGTAGAGAGAATAAGATATATATATAGATAGATAGCTGCAGAGATGGAGATAGATGAGCAGATAGAGAGAATAGAGTAGATATGGTATATAGATATAGAGATCGAGGCAGAGAGAAGAGAAGTAGATAGAGAGAGAGAGATAGATACAGAAGAGTATAGAGAGGCATAGAGAGATAGATATAGATACGATGCAGATAATATAGATAGAGGAGAGGAGGAGTAGAGATAGAGAGAGATTAGAATGGATAGCGGCAGATGAGCGAGCGAGATAGACGATAGGCAGAGAAGATGTATAGATAGAGAGAGCCGAGGAGATAGAGGAGAGAGAGAGAGAGAGAGGCAGAAGCGAGAGTAGAAGCTAGAGAGGCAGAGGAGAGAGAGAGAGAGAATGAGATATGCGAGAGAGAGACGGCGAGAGAGAGAGAGAGAGAGAGAGAGAGAGAGAGAGGAGAGAGAGAGGAAGAGAAGAGGAGAGAGAGAGAAGAGCAGAGGAGAGAGGAGAGAGAGGAGAGAGGAGAGAAGAGAGAGAGCGAGAGAGAGAGAGGAGCTGAGGAGAGAGGAGAAGCGAGAGAGAGAGAGAGAGAGAGACGAGAGAAGCAGAGAGGAGAGTAGAATAGAGAGGTAGTAGAGAAGAGAGTAGATGAGAGAGAGAGACTAGAGAAGAGAGGAGAAGAGAGAGAGAGAGAAAGAGAGATGATAGAGCGAGAGAGAGCAGTAGCGAGCGAAGAGAGAGAGAGAGAGAGATAGAAAAGAGAGAGAGAGAAGAGAGAGATATATAATGTAGAGTAGACACTAGTATACGACGAGATCAGATTAGGAGGATAGATAGATTGGTAAAAATGAGATAATAGAAAAGATATAGATATGAGATATAGAAAATAAGATATATAGAGATAGAGATATAATCATAAAAGATAGCGGTAGGATAGATATATGATATAAGGATATATATATATAGTATATGTAAAGGTAAATAGTAGAATATACGTATATATATATTAGATTAGATATATATATACTATAGATATAGGGCTAGATACATATATGTAGGAGATATAGATGGATTAGATGATATCTATATTAGATATATTATATATATATACAATATAGAGAGATATATATATATAAGAGGCAGATATAGATCGAGAAGCGAGCTTAGAGGCATGGACAGAGAAATAGAGAGAGAAGTAGATAGAGGCAGGGGATAGGATAGAGAGAGAGCGAGAGACAGAAAGAGAGCGAAAGAAAGAGAGAGAAAGAGGATTAGAGAGAGAGCGAGAGAGAGAGAGAGAGATAGAGAGAGAGATAGAGATATATAGATACATAACAGAGAGAGAGATTATAGACAGATAGAGAGAGGGTCGAACAGTAGGGTACGAGAGATAGAGAGACGAGATAGAAGAGAGAGAGGGTAAGAGCTGGGAGAGAGAGGTATATGAGCGGATGAGATA